GCAGGCCTGTGGAGCGATTTTGTCGTCCTGAGCGCCCCCCCCCCAGGAGGGTTTGCCTCCCCCCGCCTTGTGAAAAAAGGCCGCCGGTGCCTTCCTTTCCCATGAAGAAGAGAAGAACCTTGAGGATCGCGTGAACACGCTTCAGTTTTCTTATTCTTTTCTATAGATGTGGGGAAAAGAACAGCCGATTGTGTGAAAACCCCGTTGCCTGCAAAAAGGGACATTGGCCATCCAGGCGAAGGTGCGCGAGGGAGAGCACTAATCGCTGAACCAGGAGACAAATACGATTACCAGCTCCGAGCCTTGAGTCAGAAAGTCTCATAGACTTTAAGATGTTAATCCCCAACATAATCCTTCCTTTGGCGTGTAGGAATAGTGCAGCCACAAGAGTTGTTTTGTTATTTATATTGGCGTTTAATAAAACTCAGCCAGCAGTGAATGGGCTGCCCACTCTCCAATGGTAATTAATTCCCTATTTCAGTGACCCAATTGTGCTGGGATAGAGCGGTGGGACAGTCCCACTGCCCCAACCCGCCTTTGTGCAGCTACACGGCTCTCGTGCTTCAACAGCTATGGAAACTCATTCTTTTGATGTCATTCAATGAGTTTTCCTTGGGCATCTTCTAAACTTCAAGGACCCTTTTCTTTCTGGAGCGCCTGAAAAGCAGGACTAGCTTGACCACCTCTGTAGAATTTAATGATTTGGTGAAAGGGCCTTTTTGGGGGTTTGTGTAAGGAGAGAGAGAGAGAGAAAGAAAATTTGGCAGGCTGCTATCAAACAGGGGGCTATCCAAACTCGAGCGCACCGACCTCATTCAGCTCCTAATTTATACAGGTCTTAAAAGCCACTCTTCCTCAGTCAAAAATCCTTCGGGACTCCTCTTGGCCAAGGCGTTCCTAGAAGGGGCTTGCTAAGTACGCAGATACTCTTGTGTCACACACGCCACGGATCCGAGCCGGGCTGGCGGACGGGTACAGACAAACCACGTTTTTAAGGTGACGTTTCCGTCCAGCAAAGGGAAAAATAAGAAGGTTCTCGGCATGGGTTGTGTTCTTGTCGAAAAGGGTGTCCGGGGCTCTGTCTTTTGGCTCTCGGGGCAGGGCGGCAGCGTGAAGTGGCCGCGGAAGGAGTGTGTGAAACCAACACGCGAAGAACATGTAGTAACCCTGCAAAGTCGCCCCGGCACAGGCAGCCTCTATTTTGCAGCACTACACAAAAAAAAAAAAAAAAAGAAAAAAAAAAAAAAAAAAAACCCTTCAAAAGTCACAAACAATTCAGGATTCAACTAAGAAAACACAGAGTGAACCATATGGCCAGGGTGGCTCGAGTTGGCTGCATTTTCCCCCAGACAAAGAAGGGATTGAGAGTTGAAGGAAAGGAGAAAAAAACCCCAACTTTCCGGCTGATGAAGCTGTTGTCTGGAGGCAATGATCCCAAATCTCCAGGCTTTATTCCAGGCTCCGACTGAGACGTGATATGTCATATGATTAGCATCTTTCATATTTACAAGAGTAGCGCGGGCTGCCAGCCTTTAGAGAAAGGCGAGAGAAAGAAGGGGCATATGCTGAAATGGGTTTAGCATTTGAAAGAGAGAAAAGGGAGCGGATAAATACACTTAAACGAGGATTTAGTTTTACTCCCGTTGAGTTCTAATGGGTTGTTGATTGAGATTTTAGGGAGCTGGAACAGAGGTGTCAGCAGTAATTTAAAGGCGCTGTTCAGCCCGCCGCTGCTCCTGCTTCCCCCCCCGCCCCGCTTCTCTTCTACCCAGCCCCCCG